TTTCCTTACTTCTTAGTGGACTTCAGTTTGTTCCCTTTTTTGGGTTATTATAAGTGGAGTTGTCGTGCAGACTCGTGTGTCAATGAACTTTTTGCTTCCGTTGGGCAGATGCACAGGAGAGAAGCGCTGGCTGCTGGACAGGCAGCTGCTCAGCTTTAATAGAAACCCCTGAGCAGATGCATGAAATCGTTGAACAAATTTAGATGAGCCACAGAGAGGACTTGGTGGCTGTGCACCTGCAGCTTTTAAGGTTGACGGGGCTCGTTCACCCCTTCTTGTTAGCTGCTGTATGAAAACTTTGAGACACAAACCAATGAACCCATGTTCTCTGATCTCCTGAGCTCAAGTGCAAGTGACACATAGGTGTCAGATGACACACAGGGATGGAGTTCAGGTATAGACACGGGTAAAGCCAAGTGGAAGGAGAACCCGTGGAGGGTAAGCCAAAATATCACGTTCACAATTTGGAGGGATGTTGGTTTTCAAAGGATGCAGGGCAAGCAAGAGCTCTCCCTGTCTAAGAAGTGTAAAGTGAGCAGTTCAGAAGCTGTCTCAAATAAGAACTTGCTTTCTCAAAGTTTGGTATTCACACCAACCCAGTCTTGCTAAAGACTAAGCTCACTGAACGCAAGGGCGCATCCTTACTCATCAGCATGACTTCCCCACGAGGTGGAGAGAGCTGGGGCATCCAGGCTTGACGAGTTGGGAAATTGAGAAGGGCCATCTGTGAGGAAAAGTGTCAAGTTTCCACCACCTGAATGAAAGTTACTGAAATCATCTGTATGAGGAGTAGCTTGTAATTTGGTGGAAAATGCATTCACTAGACTTGTTAAGAAAAAAACCTGAAGCTTAAAGCAATTTCTCTAGCATCCACCCACCTACCATCCATCCATCCATCCATCCATCCATCCATCCATCCATCCATCCATCCAGCCAGCCAGCCAGCCAGCCAGCCAGCCAGCCAGCCAGCCAGCCAAGATCCATAATGTTTTCTTTAAGAAAACTGGGCATTTTTAAAATTTTATTATTTTTTAAAGATTTATTTATTCACACAGAACTGGGGTACAGGCCAGAGATGCAGAGGGTGAGAGGATTCACCAGAGACAGGGTGGGGAGCAGAACAGGCAGATCGACGAAGTCCACTGCTGAGGGGAGCAGCGGGCGGGTCAGGAGAGGTCTGCTGCGCCAGCTGGGTCACCTCCCGGGTAGGGGATCGAACTCATGGGGAAGTGGCTTAAGCTTCTTAGTGCTGTGCTTTAACCTGCTGCGCCACCAGGGAGGGCCCGAAACCTGGGCATTTAATGCTGAGTAAAGGGGCTCGAGTTTCTGTCACAGATAACAGGTTTATTCCTTAGGTAAGGATTCTCTCAGCTCTCAATGGCAGCAGTTTCCCTAGTCTATGAGTTTGGACAGTGGCAAGTCTTCTGGCACACAGCTGGGAAGCCTGGACTCCGTGGGGTTCTCCCTGAACATTGGAGTTGGGGGATTCAGGAAGTCAGCTAGGGCCACAAAGAACCTGAGTGGACACATTCCATGTGTGGGCAGCCACCATGAGCAGAGCCATGGGCACACCTAGTATTTAGAGCATGAGGGAATTGGATCTTGCCAATTTTATGTTAATTAACTCATAATCAGCATAACTTGGAGCCAGGTGTGTTCTCAGTGTATTTATGTGTGGGAGGAGCCCTATCATTCTGGCTTAGAGGTTTAGATCTCCCTTAGCATAAGCCAAGCTAAACAAATTGGATCAAAAGAAATTCCTCACTTTGTCCCAGCCGTGGAACCTGGTATCTGAATTTCAGGGGGGGGCTGTCTGCAGAATGGGAAGCATTTGTTTGCTCTACAGTGGGCACTATGGGGGCGGCCTCCTTGGCAACCCCAAGGGGAGTAGAGTACCATACCCATTCTGTGAGTGGACAGAGTGATTCAGATGATGGTATTTTTAATAAGAAAAGCCTGGGGAGGTCTCATGCTATTGGAAATGCCTTTGAACTGGGTCAAAAATAACACTGACACACTGCTGGAACATTTCTAGAAAGATGCAATTATGGACTGTTTTGGTCCCCACAAAATTGAAGTCCTACTCCCCAATACCTTCCAGGGACTGTCTTGGAGATAGGGCCTTGAAAGAATTAAGTTAAACCAAGGCTATTAGGGTAGGTCCCACTTCAGTGTAAGTGGTGTCCTCATAAAAAGAGGTCAGCACACAGAGACACACAGAAGGAGGACCCTGTGAAGGCACAGGGAGAAGTCAGCTGTCTGGAAGCCACAGAGAGGCTCAGAGACAGCACCCTGCTGCTGACACCTCGATCTTGGACTTCAAGCCTTCAGAGTGATGAGAAAATAAATTGGTTATTTAAGCCACCTCTCTGGAGTTTTGCCATGAATCCCTACAAAAATCAAGAGATGGGCTAGCCAGTAAGACAGGTAATGAAAACAGGGTCTTGTAAGGTTTTCTGAGCTGACTGGGTGCAGTAAGGGTACCAAGGGATGGAGTTACTGAAAACTACTATCTGTGCCTAAAAGCAAAATTTAAGCTAATGACTTTGGGGTCTGCCTGGTGGTGCACCGGGTTGAAGCTACAACCACTGTAGCCTGAGTCCTATCCCTGGCCAGGGAGCTGACCCACATGGCACAGCAGACCTCTTCAACCTGCCTGCTGCTCCCCTCAGCAATGTATTTCAGTAGATCTGCCTGTTCAGCTCCCTACTCTGTCTCTGGTGAATCCTCTCACACTCTGCACCTCTGGCCTGTACCCCAATTCTTGTATGCATAAATAAATCGTTGTTATAAAAAGATAATGACTGTTGTTTTTAAGGTGGGGGGGGAGGGGAGAAAGGGGCCATTCTGCAGAACTTGCACGTCCAGGACAGAACACAGCTTCCAGAGGGCAAGCCTCTCTTCGGCAGGAGCGGTGCCTTTGCCACTTAGCATGGGCCAGGCCCGCCGAGATACCCTGGACAACATGAAAATGCAGCAAAGATCAGCTGGCACGTAGCTGTAAGGCTGTGAGTGGCTGTGACTTACTGGCTGTCATGGTAAAGGCTGAAAGCATCATTTCGCGCAGATGGACCAGCCAAGACAGGGCAGGGACTAGAGAACACAGTCGAAACTCCCAGGAGGTGCTCCTCATAGCTCCTGTTTACTTTTAGTCAGATATTAAACATTTGTAAATTTTTTTATACAACAGGTACATGCAAAGTTACAAATATAGAAATATAAAGTACATGCATATTTCAAAGACCACTTGGATCCTTATACAAAACTATTTGGTGCACACTGTAAGCCTAAGACCACACACAAGCTTCCCACATATTAAGCATTTAGTACCTTACAAAACCAGTGATGCATTAGCTGCTTCTCTAATCAGAAGTTCTAAATTTGTCCTATGCAACATATTTATATATATATTTTTTACACAGAATACCTGCACAGTGCAAGCCAGTTAACATTGCAGAATAGTAACATAGGTCTGCTAGGTGACAACAGTGAACGACCTAGAGAATAATTTTACCTTATTTAAACAACATAATAGAATTTCTTTTTCTACTGTGAATGGATCAAATTTCTGTCATCTCCAACCTAAGACATTTTTTTCTGATTGCCTATTTTTTTGATTCAAAGGCCAATTACAGCATCCAAAGACTTGACCTGGTTCTGTTCTTGGACAAGTCTGAGAGAGCAATGAAGAAATGCACCCTTTTCTCAGTGCACTCACCCTTTTCTTCCTCACATAACCCCTCCAGGAATGGTGCTTTTACAGCTGCTGTTACTTTCATGTTCAAATCTCCTGGCTTCCACCAGACCATGCCACAGTCATTCTAATTTCTGAGTAAACAAAGGAGATTTGCTTTTAATGTTCAGAAGGTACTTTATTTTTTACACTGTCTTAATCTACAGTTTGTTACTAAAGAAAGGAATGCCACATGGGGGAGCTTTCAACACCCAGCACAGAGCCACAGAGCTGGCCTCCGTGGGCCCTGCTCCTCAACGTGGGGTTTTCCAGCCCTAGAAGCCTTTCATGGTAGTGGTGCTCATCCCGTGAGATACCTCCGCCCAGAGGTCTAGTGTTGCACAAATATTTACTCCAAGCAGTGACCGCAAAAGGCAAGCACCCCACAGCCCTGTAGACACAGCGCCAGGCTGTCCCTGGGCTGAGCCTGTGCCCCAGAGCCAAGGATCACTAGTTTTGTTTCTGAGTATCATGTGGCCTCCTTCCAAATTTGGCAGATTTGCTGCTAGAGCAGGAAAAAGCAGTCAGGTTTTTAAAAAACAGGTGAGAAAATATCTTCAAATTGCTATGAAATCACTGCTAAGATGGGGACTTACTGTACTGAGCTCAAGCTGGGGAAGAAGTTGAAGGTTTTTAGGCAAAAGTGTTCGAACGCTATTCTGAGTATTGTTTGAGCCTCAACCCATTGCACAAGACAAAAAATAGCCAGATCAACCAGCGGTCATTTGCTGTTATACTCTCATCAGCCTGCCTTAGCACTGGCCCAGAAGGACCCAGTGGGACGGGGCTTGCGTGGCCAGCATTCTGGTCTACTCTACATTTCCCAGTGCCCATCAGTGCCAGGGAATTAGCCTATGGTGACGAAGAGAAAAGCAAGAAGGAGACACCACCACTAAAAGGGCCGCAGGTAGGCACCCCCTCCCCAACCTGATGAAAGATGAAGACAGTGAAAGCAGGAAGCTCCTCATCCCACTATCAGGAAGATGAGGAAAGAGATGAGCAGGATCACAGGCGGGGAAGAGAAGAGGACCATGCTGGACCCCCGCTGGTAGGAGGACTGGTATTCCTTCTGGTACTGGTTGATACACATCTGCTCCACCACACGCTCCATGATCTTGATGTCGGTCTCGGTGAAGTTCTCGCCCTGGGTGGTGGTGGTCACTGTGTGCTGCTTGACCGTGATGTTGACACAGTCGTGCACGAAGTTGTTCTGGTTGTTGTACTGATCCACAGGCTTGTAGTACACTTGGTTGGGGTAACGGTTCATGTTCTCACGATAATAACGGTCCTCATAGTCATTGCCAAAATGCATGAGAGGCCTGCTCATGGCACTCCCCAGCATGTAGCCTCCGAGGCCCCCCACGACCGCCCCGGCTGCGGCAGCACCTGCCACGTGCTTCATATTGGTTTTTGGCTTATTTGGCTTGTTCCACTGATTGTGGCTGCCACCACCTTGACCCCAGCCTCCACCGCCATGGGGCTGACCCCAGCCGCCACCGCCATGGGGCTGACCCCAGCCGCCACCGCCGTGAGGCTGACCCCAGCCGCCACCGCCGTGGGGCTGACCCCAGCCACCGCCACCCTGGGGTGGATAGCGGTTACCTCCAGGACTGCCCTGGCCGGGGTATCGGCTCCCCCCAGTGTTCCATCCTCCTCCAGGCTTTGGTCGCTTCTTGCAGAGGCCCACATCACTCCATGTGGCCACAAAGAGGACCAGCATCCAGTAGCCTACGTGGCTTTTCACCATGGTGACTTATCTGCAAAATGAAAAAGGTGTTACTGTCATGTGTGAGTTGAAACCACTTAGCACTTGCTGCTTAACGGATGGGCACAGAGCACTTACAGCAAAGTAGTTGTAAGGAAAGGGTTAACATAATCCTTTCTTGTTCTCTAAGGACAAATTTGACCTTAAGATAATTTCTGGTTCGGTTTCCTGGGACCTTGATAAAGGTGGAATGGCAGCAAAGCTGCTTATGATAAAAATAACCACTGACTGATAACATTGCTCCTGGACCCGGAGAAAAATAAACACCTGGTGGTTTTACCAGAGCTTTGAGCTTTTTGAGAGCAGTGATTCTTGCAACCCACACATCCTCAGGGGGTCTCTGAAACTGTGCCCCCTGGGGCATTATGATGGCTGTGGGCTCCAGTGGGGCATGGTGCTCTACACCAAGGGGGCCCATACCCACCATTAGGAACCTCACTCCCTAGGATCTGGTGCATTACCTGAGGGGACTGGGAGTGCGGACGTGTCCCTGGCTGCTGTGGCCCACACAGCAGGACCGTGGGGTGGTCCATATGGAAGGCTCGTGGGTGTAATATTTAGTAAGGAAGGCCCTCCCACCCCTACCAGTGGGTGCTGCAGCAATGAAATTGTAAACAGGCTCATGTCTTCTTTCCTCGCTGGGAATGTCAACCAAGTCTCTCTTTTTTGCTGCCATCTCCGCAGGAGCTAGGGCAGTGCCTGGCACAGAGCAGGCACACAATAGATATTTGTTAAATTGGCATATATATGCCAACAAGAATTTCCTGAAGGGAACGCTCAATGCCTTTTTTTTTTTTTTTGAAAACAGGAAACATGCAGGATTTTGCAAGGCCCCATGCAATACCAACTTCCTCTCCACAGACAGACAGGCTGTCGTTCTCAGGGGAGAACGGCTGTGTTCACAAGGTTTGCTGTCACTCACCAAATGAGTTAAAGTTCAGCACTTAATGGTTTATGCTCTTTTAGTTTTTGATACAAAAGCCACATGCCTGACATGAAAGGGCTAACTAGAGGTTAGGAAAATACAAGCCGAATATCCCAGCTCATTTATGATGCTTAGCTGAATACATACTCATCAAATTAAAAATCTTTCAGATTAGAGCTGTCATTTGCCTTGGGAGCTCAGTTTCAAGGGCAGAGATCAAAGCCACATAATAGGATGATTAGCAAAAGTTTATACTGTGCCCACTGTCAAAACCATATTCTCCAAAACTTCATGTGCCTTTAACCCAAACAGCACACCTTGTACCACAGACACAGTCTGATCCCCAGCTCCGGGATTATCTTCCAATCAAAGTGGCATCAGACACTGGAAAATTATTTTTCTATCTTTCAGAGCTAATGACTAAATAGGTAAAATTCAGAGGAAGATGATAAAATGAATGAATATCCTGTTTTTGTTTCTACCATCATTATTGAGATGTCTTAGTGGTTAGTGGTAAACAAAAATACACTTGAAGGCCACAGGCCGTGTAAAACTGCTTAGATTATGCAGATTAGAAACTTTTGGAGGCTCTGGGAAGGGTCAGAGGCAGAGTCCAGGCATGCGCAGCCTCATTTCTGGCGCATTTCCTGGCACCCCGGCCTTTGCAGCCGCTCCCTGGTCTAGCCGCCTTTTGCTTCAGGGACCCAGCTCTTGGGTCCAGCTACTGTTTCTTGTTTGCTTTTTGTTCATGTTGTTCACACTTCAGCTCCAACACCTCAAGGAACTGAAGTAGGGACTAACCCCTTAGTCAGTCACTCCCCAGCTACAGGATAGCTGTGCCACCTTCTTTCCCATTCACCCCAGTGAACCAAACCCACCCATCACAGAGTAGTTCTTGAGTTTTCTTTTTCTCACAGTACTCATTGACTCTATCAGCAAAGCTTATCAGAACCACCTGGAAAAGCAACCCTACATCCTGCAGCCAATCACATTTCCCTATCCTAGGTGAAGCCTCCATTACTTCTCAACACCCTTTGACAGGGCCTGAAACCTCCTACCCTCTCACCCTCTTTCCAGGCCTCTGTTGTGTGTTCTGCACCCACAGTCTGAGAGAGCCTTTGAATATGCAGGTCACACTATGCCACTCTCCATTTCCTGAGCCGTGCTCCTTCGTGTTCAGGATAAAGCACCAAGTCCCCGCCAAGCTGGCTAGGCCCCACACCACCTGGCGCTGGCTGCCTGTCTCGCCCCAGCCAGCAAGCACTTTCCATCTCAGGCCTTTGCACTGGCTGCTGCTGAGGCCAGTAGTGTACCAGGCTCAGGTCGGCTCCAATGTCGTCTCAGTGGGGCTGTCCCCACCACCATCCTATCCCCTGACCCAGTCTCATTCTCCCCCAGGACATGATGCCTACTTGACACCTATTACTTATTGTTTGCTTATGGTCCATTCTCACAGGAGCACAGGTTCTGCTAGGGTGGGAGTTGTGTTTTGCCCACAGCAGTGTCCCTACCACCACAATTAGTACCTGCCACACGTGCAAAATAAATGCTGACTGAATGGACAGTGTGCAAATATAATAAAGTGTAAAAGTAACCAATATAAAAAAGCATAAAAAACTAAGTAGTTACATGGATATTTGAAGTGACACATATATATGAATTTTCAAAAACATTCTCTCAGGCAATGACCAGCTATCAGGCATCTTCAATTCAGTGAGATGAATATGACTTGTGTGTCAACAGCCAAGGGGGATGCTGGCTGGATGAAAACATTACAGGAACAGGTGAAGGCAGGAGGAAGAGGTGGCTGCCAGGGCAGTAACACTGACTTTGAATGCACCTCCTCCAAGACTGTGAGAGCGAGAGCTCTGTAAGCTCATGTAGACAAAGGAGCAGGGGATGCTATCACACGGTTGGGGAGCAGGAAGGGACCTCACGGAAGGAAGTGGGCGGGGCACAGAGCAAGTGAAGACAGGTGGGGAGAGTGAGCCCAGCAGGTCTGGGGACTGCAGGTATTGCTGGGAGAGGGTTTCAGGGTGCAGTGCAGAGGTGACAAAGCCTTATGGGCAGGAGAGCAAACATCATGACTTGCCCAGGACAGTTAGCTATCATCCTCGTGCTAACATTAATGGTGCCGCTTTCATGCCCAAGAGAGGCTAGGCTACAGGCGATACTTTCAGACAAACTGTAAGGCATATTAGGAGGGTGGGCTTGATCCAAAGGCTTGGGCAGACACGGAAGAGCTCTTAGAAAAAACGCTGGGAGAACAGACTGGGGACTCTGTGTGTGGTGTGTGTGAGCAGGAAAATTACTTAGGAGGCAACCACAGTGGTCAAAGGAGAAGAAGGTGGCCTTGCCAGGGGAAGGAGAGCAGTGGGTGATCTGATACAGAAGGCAGTTTCTGGAGAGACTAGAAGAGTTGAGGAGACCTATGTTTCTGGACTAGGGACTGTGGGGACAGAACAGAGGGGGAGCACCCCTGCGGGGAGATAAATGAGGGGCTTGGCTTTGGCAGGGCTGTTACTACATGACATGTGTGACACGTACAACAGGAGATGGCAGCAGCAGTCAGCTTGCTGGGCATGGAGCTGAGGAAGGACCAGGGACTGGAGAGAAAGGAAACGGGGGCGTCAGACTGATGGGGACATGGGCTGGTCGGGGTCTTAAAAGTGAGTACTGGAGAAACTGCTTAGCCATTAAGTAAGACAAAGATGCATTAAGATAACTAATTTAAAAAATCAGTTGAGAATAACAATATTTAATTATGAAAAATACAATATTTTGAACTAGATAATTATTTCTAAAAACAAGATAGGCTCAAAGCTCACATGAAAACTTGGAGGACCTTGTTTTGTTTGTGACAAAATTAGCAAGATCTTATCGTATTTTAATCCAAACCACTCACTCCACAAACAACACTCTATACCAGGATGCACAAAGGTCAAGCGCCGCGCATGTGATGACAGTGCTGGTTCCTGGAACTGTGGGGAGGGGGCTGCGTTTCTGAATCGCGGGCTATGCTGACACTGTTCATCTGGGACACTCAACTGTGGATGGGGAAGTTGGGGTCCAGACCCCTGGTATACTTTAAGACATTAAGTATCTGATAAAGGTCAACAGCTAAAAAAAATATTCGTAACAGACTTAGGAGAAACTCCCCTAACTTGAGAAAGGTTATACAACAAAAGTAGCAAACATTCTTAATGGGTAACCTATGAATGAGTTCTCTTTCAAGATCAGAAGCAAGACCAGGGTGTGCACTGCCACAGGACTGGGGGCCATACCCAAAGACACAGAGAAGTAACGGCAGCAAGTAGTTAGTTGCAAGGAAGGAGCTCTCAGGTCATCGTGCGCAATTAATGTGACCACACACAAAAACAATAGAAGCAACACGAGACACAGTACTAGCATTCGGTAAGGTCCTGGCACACAAAATTGGCCTACAAGTATCAACAACACTTCTCTGCACTAGCGGTCATTGATTAGAAAAAAAAAATTAAGTAAGACCTTCACAATAGTCACCCAAACTGTGATGTATTCAGGTTGACATACTAAGAAAAGTAAGAAGAAGAAAGATTTAAAAATTCCCATAAAGAACATAGAAAAAGATCAAAAGGCATTTCAAGGTCTTGACTAATTTAACATTGTAAGAATGTCAGTCCTCAGGATAGGCCTGCTGACAAAACAGAAAAGGTAAGTTTGTGGCTGGGTGACCATGCCATCTGCTGAAATAGGAAAATTGCTCGACGATTTTGCTCAGGAGAGAAAGCCAAGAGCTTTCATTTGGACAAATTAACTTTGCTCCAACTATGAGCGACCGAAGTGGGGATATCAATTAAGGCAACTGTTATTAAGAATATGAAACTTTAAAAAAAAATCTGAAACTCAGTAAAGGAAAATGTTTGGGTATTTCCAAGGAAGGAGCTCTCAACTCCTTCTCAACTACTTCTCACTACTGAGAAGTAGTGCTAAAAGCCACAGGGTAGAAGGGCAAGACTCAAATTCCAGTATTTTCTGAGCTGAGCTCACCCAGTAAAACAGGTGCCACAATCCAAAAGAAAATACCACTGATTTTAAGATTTTAGTAGAAGACTATACTGTGACCAATACGGGATTTGTTTAGGACTACAAGGATGGCTCAAAATCAGGAACTCTACTAATAGGTTTAGGAGGGGGAAAAAGTGCATCCACTCCTGATTGTTTTTTACAGTTTAAGCTGTTAGAATTGCTATTACAAACACACAGCTCATATCCAATCTTAACTGAAAGCGGAAAGACATTCCAGCATGTGGTGAATAATACAAGAATGCAAGCATTTTGATCATTCAGGGAGTTCTAGCCAGACCTAATTTTTCGCTAGGAAAATCATCCAAAAATGTCTTAGAATAAGTAAGCAAGTATAAGGGCGGCTGCTTTTAAAATCAATATCTATATAGCAAAAAACCAGTGAGTCCCCAGATCAGTTGTCATTATTTAGACGATTTAGTATAGGAAAAAACATTCCACTTATAATGACAAGAAAAAAATTAACAACTTGTAGGATGTAACCTAAAAATAAAAAGTGGGACTTAGATGAGGAGAGCGTGAAAATTTTACTGAGAGACAAAAGACAAAGACTATCATATTTAAAAGGTTGATTATTGGTTTGGCTTTCTCTTACACTTTGTCCTGTTTCTCTATATTCCACATATAGGTGACACTAGGTTTCTCCTTCAAAAGGCAAATACCAGATGGTGTCATTTATATGTGAGAAAGACATATACAATATTTCTGGCTGCGGAAGCCAATACTGAAAAAAAAAATTCACCTTCTCATAATCCACAAAGTCAACATAATTTCAGTCAGAATTCAAAAGGGATTAGACAAAAATATTTTATTTATTTATACATACAGAACTGGGGTACAGGCCAGAGATGCAGGTGGTGAGAGGATTCACCAGAGAACAGAGTGGGGAGCAGAACAGGCAGATTGCTGAAATACACGGTGAAGGGAGCAGCGGGCAGGTCAGGAATGGTCTGCCATACCATGTGGGTCACCTCCCTGGTGTGGGATTGAACACGATAGCTTCATAGTGCTATACTTTAACCCGCTGTGCCACCAGGGAGGGCCCTCAAAGGGGATTTTAAAGAACATGAAGTGATACTCGTAATAAGGGAGATGCAAATTAAAACCACAATGAGATACCACCTCATCCCAGTGAGAATGGCACATCTTCAAACAACTAGCAACAACAAATGTCAGCGAGGATGTGGAGAAAAAGGAACTCTCCTGCACTGCTGGTGGGAATGCAAACTAGTACAACCACTATGGAAAACTGTCTGGAGGTTCCTCAAACTGCTAAACATGGAGCTTCCCTACGACCCAGCAATCCCACTCCTAGGTATCTACCCAAAAGACACAAAAACACTGATTGAAAAAGATACTTGTACTCCCATGTTTATTGCTGCTTTATTTACAATTGGAAAAACATGGAAGCAGCCCAAATGCCCAAAAGTAGATGACTGGATTAGAAAGATGTGGTACATATATACAATGGAATATTACTTAGCAGCCAAAAAAGAGAAACACATGTCTTTTGCAGCAACTTGGATGGAGCTGGAAAAGATCATGCTTAGTGAGATAAGCCAGAAAGAGAAAGAAAAATACCGGATGGTTTCACTCATAGCAGGAGTATAATGGACCAGGCGAGAAAATAACAAAAATAATGAACAACCATATACCAGAGACATTTTGTGGGGGTGAAGTGGGGAATGGGACCAAAACCGGGGGGAGGGGGGAAGGGAGGGAAATGCACGGGACTATGGTGGCACACGGGTGATTTGGTGATGGGAAAGCCGCGGGGACTACAATCGAAATGGAAAAAAAGAAATGTGCAAAATGATGTAAAAATAAACTTTTGTAATAAAAAAAAATAAAATTTAGAATTTAAAAAAAAAAAAGAACATGAAGTGATAACTCAAAATTAAGAAGTCTGAAGAAATAAATGAACTGAAAGAAAATCCAGGGTCACTTAGCCTGTCGGGTATTAAAATGCCTTGCAAAGTTACAACAAATAAGATCATGTGGCATTCACGAATGAGCAGAATGGCAATGGAAAGAGAAAGGAGGTACAAAGCATCCAGAGGTCACCCCAGTCACCGACTCCCATTATATCTATGACCTGAGTGAGCACTGGTAGGAACTTGCCCAGTGGTCTGTGCAGAGCCAAAATTGTGATACTCAGAACATGGTCCAACTTGAAACTTAATTAATCTGGAAACTTAATTGTTTAATCTGGGAAGACACAATAGACAGTCCCCCCATTTCCTTTTTTTACTGAGCTAATTAGAATTCTTTTGTCATATGAGTCTTTTTTGAAGTAGTTGCTCCTTAAAGAATCTGATGCAAGCTATACACATTTTTGCAAAGAATTTATGGGTGGGGGCTTTCACTGGTATTCTGGAACCTAGTGCTGGACTGAACAGGCAAAGAGGCCCAGACTATTCACCATCAGAATTACCTGGAGAGTCTTAAAAAAAACAATATTGTGGGCCCTCCCTGGTGGCGTAGTGGGTTAAAGCACAGCACTGAGAAGCTAAAGCCACTTACGCATGAGTTTGATTTCCACCTGCCCCGGAGGTGACCCACATGGTGCAGAAGACCTCTCCTGACCCGCCCACTGCTCCCCTGAGCAGTGTACTTCGTCAATCTGCCTGTTCTGCTCCCCAGTCTGTCTATGGTGAAGCCTCTTGCTGCCCCTGACTGAGCCTCTGGCCTGTACCCCAGTTCTGTATGCACAAATAAATAAATCTTTAAAAAAAATCAAAACAATATTGCTGGAGCCTGCCCCAGGGCAACAGCTTGGGCACACTTCCGGCCAGCTCTGTCCTGGCACATTGTGCTTCACCGCACTTCACTGATACTGCCTTTTTCATGAACTGAAGGTTGTGACAGCCCCACTTGTAGAGCAAGGCTCTGGCTCATTTTCCAACAGCATGTCCTCGGCCACATTATCACTCATCGTGATGGTCTGGAAGCTAACCTGCATAACTGCAAGCTGTGTCTGTGTAACAGCTTCCGAGGCAACGGCACCTAGCCGGACTTCCGAAGTGCAGCTCAATGACAGTTATGTTGTTTTTCACAAAAGGGAACTCCTCCCTTGAAGCAGCTATACAACACTGTAATAACAGTAGTAAGCAGAACATGGAGAGAGGAAAGCGATGGACAAATTGAAGACTAATTCTTCTAAGGGTAAGAACTGCTGCACATACCATGCATTCAAGGGTTACTGCACAAGGCTGCAGTCAGCATTGGGTTAGATACAGGCACGTTTTGAATATTTAATATGCGGCAGTTTGAAGCTAACATAGTTGCCTTGGAAGAAGAAATAAGATCCGAAAAGGGGGAATGGAATAGGTGAGTTAAAACTACAGCTCCGAAAACCTTTTACCTATAAAACATTTTGTCAGGTGGTTGACAGTCATCCTCAGCATTAATTTGGTGAAGAAATGCTTGCTATGGCATTGTTTTATTATATATGTTTAAAATGCTTGCTTCCTTACATAATTTGGCATGATTCTAGAGAGAAAGGTGTGGCCGTTTCTCTGTAAAATCAAGCTTGATTCACAAGAAAGGATGATGCAATAGGTGTGAGCTACATCTATAGTCCCAGTGACCCCCAGAGCATGGCTTGTGAACACAGCCTTTCCAGACCCATGTTTTCTGTGACAGTTGGTGACTTTCAACCATCACAAACCAAAGAGATTCATAGCATACGTACATCTGTTGTGGTTCAGCTAAGCTGGATTTGTGCCTCCAGGAAGAGAATGATTCGGCTTTGTGGAAATTGTTGTTTCCCAATATATTCAAACCCTTAAAAACAATATCAAAAAGAAAAAAACAGAATTGACAAATCAGTCTAAGAAAAGGATCCTTACAAGAAAAACATAATAAAAAATGACTGAGCTATTAACTAGTCTGTTCAAGAAACAGTGAAAATATCTAAAGAGAAAGAAATGAGATTGGCTAAAAAAGAAGACAAGACGGTAAGCTCTCCCTTTCACACACAGAAAACTGTAGGTCCATTTCATTTTATAAATGGAAACCTGTGGATTATTTTACATTTCTAAATTGATTTAGAAAAATACACAAATAAAAAGAAGTTGAAATCACCCACAGTTTCTATTAAAACCTTCATTTCAAAATGATTTTTCTTTCAGATTTTTCAACATGTATTCAACTGTAAGTAGATACAGGTTAGTAACCTGAACTTTGACCAGTCCTGCTTATGATCTTGAAAGAGAACATATTCAAAAATTACCCACTAAGTATGTTTGCTATTTTTGTTTTATAACCTTTATCAAGTCAGGGGCATTTCCTCCTATTCTTAGTGTGCTAAGATTTTTTTATTGATAATCAGATATTGAATGTTATCGAATAGTTAATGGATTACAGGGTTTCGAAGGACATCCAAATGGCTTTTGACGGTTACATAATGTTTCCTGTATAATATGCCATGATTTTCTTAGCTAGTGTCCTGCTGTTAGACATTTAGGTTGTTTCCCAGTCGGTTCTAATTTTAGACCATTCTGCCCTGAATACATGCCTGCATATGGCTGCTTTCCCCCCTCTTGTTTGTTTCACTGCAGGTAAACTCCCTGGAGTGGGGTTTCTGGGTCACAGCTATGTACCAACAGATTGCTTTACAAAAACCTGGTACTGATTCAGTGTCCCCAATGGGGTGTGACTAGGAAAAGAATAGAAATATATGTGTATAACCAGGGTCAGTAACATCAATGGCTAAAGTTAATTCTGATAATAAACCCTGAAAACAAGTATCATTTTCCCTTGTTTTATTATAACAGACAAAAGGAAGACTGGGAAATTAGAGGGAATGCCCAAGGTTAGTTGTACAGACAACTTCTAGCCCCAAAACCAGGCCACTTCCCAAATAATTAAATATACAGGTATCAGGGAAACTTCCTATCTGGGTTGCTGCCACTATAACGGCTGCTTTTGTTAATTTAATAACTGCCAAGTGACCCAAATTTGCTTTAATTTGCATTTTATTTTGTAAATTAGTCATCATTTCACCATTTACCTACTATAAATTCCAATAATTTTCTTTCACAAGGATGGAAAATAACATACAATCACATCGTAATTCTCTGCTTTCTTTCCCTTTTTGGTTAGTTCTTTATCATTGTAAGAGCTGCTCAGGGTTTGCATAGATAAAACTGCTCTTTCTCAATGGTGACTGTTTAATTTTCTATCAAAACTGAGAGAGCTGTTCATTTTTCTAATAGTTAGACATTTTTATTCTGAGTTAGAGTTTTCTGTCCCTATTCGCCCCTCCAACTCCCCCCCCCACCATAATCCGATGTATCATAATCACTAATCCTGTGCAACCTGAGCTTTCATGAGAGGAAGGGAAATACTTCAAATGTTCAGCAAGTGGGAACTATTGATTGAACAACGATGCTCTTAACTACCAGAAAATGTAACGTGGCCATGAAGATAATCTCAGAGTGGTAAAATTGTATAATATGTATGAATCCGCAGATGAAGAACTTGAACAGAAAGCAGTGGTTTTGAGGTGGTGAAAGTGCATGTGATGTTGATGAGTTTATGATTTAAGCAACCTCTTTGCAACAGTTACCACAAAAAAGAAGAACAAACAAAAACGACAATAAAAATTGATTTCTCCGCCTTATTTAATCAAACGTGAAGGCTTAAAACAGGGTCTCTGCCTGCACGGACCCTGTTCCTCTGAGCCGTCTTTCTCCAGAAGGGTAAATAAGAAAGTCAAATTGGGTCAGCTGCACCAGGGACGCCCCCAAACCCTTGCCCCTCCCCCACGCGGTGGAGGGCGGGGCCTCTCAAGGCTCCTCCCTGGTCAAGATCCGAGGCCCCGCCCATACCCTGTGCATCCAGGGCTCGAGCTCGATTGGCCAGGGCCTCCCTCCGGGGTGGGGGTGGGGAGGCTCCGGGAAATAGTGGGGCAGCTGGAGGCCCTAAGTGCTTCGGGAATCCTTCCCCGCCGAGACTCCCCGCCCCGGCGGGCGCCCGCTCCTCCCGCCCACGCACCCGCTGGGCTTCGGGAGGGGCTGGACCTGACCCCACCTCCGCTTTCAGGCCGCTTCCCAGAGCGGCCAGCAGGCGGGGAACCGGGTCCCGCGGTCCCCAGGGGCCTCTCTCTGAAGCCCGTTCGCTGTCCCCTTGGTTCCCCGGCCACGTAAGGCCGGGTTGAGCGCCCCCACTTTCCGTACCTGAGGCCCCTCTGGCCGCGCGACTCGTCCACCCCGCCGCAGACACGCGTTGCGGGGTACGCATTGGTCAGCACCACCCACACCCTTTCCGCGGGGTCTCGGCCCGGCGCGCCCCACGCCGAATACAAGGAGCCTCCCTACCCAGCTGGGCAGCGCCAAGCGGCGTCCAGACACCTTCAAGCGCATCCACACCCATGACCCACACGCCCAGCGCCGCTGGGGAGCCCCCCGCCCCTCCCGATCCGGCCCGGGGGTTCGCTCGGCCTCCGCGGGCCGGCAGCACCCCGCTGCCGAGGAGCCCCGTCCTCCCCGCCGGGAGCTTGGGGGCCACAGGGCCGCTTACCTGCCGCCCTGGGAGGAGAGCTGTGCGCAGCGCCGC